AGATCAGCAGGACAATGGCCGTGTTGGGAGGTTTGGCGGGGAGCCAAAAAAAGCCCCCAGGTCCCTAGATAATACTGATAAACAAATACTTCTGCACGGAATAAGCAAAAGCCAAAAGTTTGGCTTTCCGAATGTTTCTTCAAAGGGGAAAAATACTTTTGCTTTTATTCCCTGCTTTCAGACAGACCAGCTGCGTTGATGCCTATATCAGAACAGTGCAGTGCCTACATATTTTCTTCTGAACTTTGCAGTATTTGCTATTCGCTCAACCTCCAAAAAACCATTCTGCTTTAGGTGCTGATTCCAGAACGTTGATCCATGTGCTGAAGCAGCGTTTTCCTTTACCATGGAAGAGAAATCCCTTAGATCGCACCGGAACTGCTGATTGCTGATTTTCCAAACTGATTCTCCGTCTGTTGGAAAAGGCATGAGTTTACATCTGCACATGCAGGTTTCAGGCTATGTCTTGGGCACTGTACAGAAAATAAGCTGTGTTCTATCCAGCATTTGGCGCCTCAATACAAGGAGCTGCTGCAACGGGGGCAGCCCGGGGCAGCCCAGACGTGGCCTGGGATAAAAACACCCCCTGTGGCTCAAGATCTTGTCAGCTGTGCCTGGGGTTGTCAAATCAATCCACATTTCTTTAGCCACAGATTGGCTGAAAGGAACCGTGAAGATGGACCCACCAGCTCCAGCTACCCCTTACAAAGTATTTGCCTCCAGAAATATTTTTTAAGAGCTTGCAGGGTGTCCAAGAGCCCTGCTAGCACACTGGAAAATAGCACTGATGCTATCTAGAGCTTATTGGAGACAGAAATGCTCTATATCTAGAGCTTATTGGAGACAGAAATGCTAAAATGCAATTTTTGTTTTAATACAAAACCTGCATATCACTGATATGACAGTGCTCAAGCAGAACAGCTCCTGCCACTTGTAATGGGGAAATAACAAAAATCTCTATTTAATCCACCCGTAATTGTTTCCCAATACAGAAGACGAAGGATAAGCTGTGAAAAATAGAACTGGGGAAAGATATAATACAACTTTCTTCACTCAGATGAAAGCTAGTAGCAAGAGAGGATGAATCAGGCTTTCTCAGTTTCACAGACCTGGTTTGGAAACTTCCTAAATATGTTAGTAAACTTTTACCTTTTCTCTAAGCGTTATTATTATTATTATTATTATTATTATTTCTCTTCCCATGGTATTAGTTCAGGGAAGTGCAGCTTGATGTAAACATTCCTCGTGTTTCACTGTGAAAGGAACAAATCGGGGGGTTTTGTGGCTTCTCTTTTATTTGGAAACCTAATGGGAAGCTGAGGGTCTGCCCTGGGAAGGGCTGACCATATCCTGCAAGGGGCTGAGGAGCTTTGAGACCCACCAGACTTCAAGACTTGGACACAATCAGCATTTTCTCATGCCATGATATCAGTTCTAAATATACTTTAATACAGTAGCTGTATTAAAAAAAAGGGGGGGAAGAAGGTATTTAGCAACAAACACGTTTTCTCCAGTCATGTTCCAGACTCTGAGGTATGTGTATCGGCTGCACGGTATGACTAATAAATGGGCTCTTCCTACCTCTCTGTGTAGACTTGAATTCATTCAGAGAGAAATTGTCTTCTGAGTTAAAAAAAAGCGTTAAAAGAGTTAAAAAGAGTTCTTAAAGGCACCTAAACATGTGCCAAATCTTCAGCAAGGGTGAATTTGCAAAGTTCACGTTGGATGTGGAAGAAGCAACATGTATTTCAACTCCAGGTCCCGAAACGAATGCAGGAGCCATTTGCTGATGCTCTAAAAGGAGTGTCACGCAGTAGATCCTCCTAGTCCTTGGTCTTACTGGAAAATTAATGAAGTCCTGAGCACAGCTGAGGCTGTGGGCTGCAGATGGCACGTGCTACATGACCAAAATCAGCAGGACTGTACGGAGCAGGGCACTATACAGCGCGTACGCACACACCGAGGCTCAGCCATTTGCACAAGGCTTAGGGAGGGGGATGGAGGGGAAGGAGAACTTTTCATCAGTGCATAATGACAAGAAATGTCTTGCTCTAACGTTTTATCTTCCCACTGCTTCTTCAAAGCAGCTTGCTGTAGTAAATGAAACCAAAGGAAATAAATGATAAAGACCTTTCCTCTTCCATTTTTCCAGGCTTACCTTATTAAGGCGTTCAAGGGTTTCTTTTAGCCTCTGCTGATATTCACGTTCATTTCTATACCTGCAAATAGAATAAAGGAGATGATGAAGTTCAATGGTTCATCCTTCTGCAAACTGCATTGTCATCTGCACTATCATGCACAATATATGCTTCACACTAAAGCAGAATATGAATCTTGAAAGGGCCCAAAACATTTATGTAATTAGCATTAATTTTTTTTTTGGTCCCAGATGCTGAGAGTAATTGCAGAATTGACTAACTTCTTGTCCTCATCTTATGTAGCTGAAGACAATGGAATGCCACACATTTGCTATCACTTCTTCACAGAAAGCCCAAGAACAGATTATTTACAATAAAAGTCTATTTGATTGGCGTTGGACTACAGTGACAGCCATTCATCAGTGGTTACTATGTGAATAGTTGCTACGTTGGCACATTAGCATTTAATTACATTGTACTTGGGTTTCTGTTCTACCTGGTGTTCAATAAGCATTTTCATGACAGACACATTAGACACAAAGGTTGCAATTTCACATATTGATTGTGTATGAATAATGTTGTATTAGGCTGCTTTGATGGATCAAGCTTTGAGTCCTCTTTAATAGCAATTCATATTTCAGTTTGGTCAAAATCACATGAGAGTCTTAGTAAGGACTGCATTTAGCCAACTATTCTTATGCATTTATAAAATGTCCACAAGTGCATAATGTGCATGTTCCTGTACGGAGTGAACAATGGATGTATATTATGTTTATATTTCATTTGAGGAAACGGCACACATTCTTTAAGAATTAGGGCTCTGTATTTGTATGTTAGATAGAATTATCTTCTAAGAAATCCTTTTAGCTGCAGAGTACAAAACGTCCTAATTGTTGATTATTGTTGTTTACTCCTTTCCCTAAATAAACTATACATAAAATGTTTAATAGGAGGTATGGTTTATTGAGACCCCATTAAATATAACAAAACCAGCCAGAAGCATCTTGTAGTACAAGGCAATGAGACTTTGCCACCAGTACTGAACAAGTGGCTCATCAAACTCCATCTGCTGCCAGTGCCAAAGTACATAAATACAGTCTATTGCTGTTTATCCCTTTGCTTTCCCTAAAATAATAGAGATACAGAGATATAAAAAGCTGTCCTTTTCTTACTTTCTACAAGAAACCCTCATGGTTGCTGACAAATCAACTGTGCTGGTGAACGTCCTTCACTTGCAGTACAAGCAATGGCATCAACACAAGTATGAACATGGTTGTAATTCAGAATCGAACATAAACCCTCGCCCGTCTTCTGAAATCATCGATTCAGCCCAGGCATGCTGGTGGCATCTAAGGGACTTGCTCCAGTCAACAGGAAACTTGTCAGTTCCTGGACTGAACACATCAAGGATCAAGTTACAATGGTCATGTCAACCTCGCTTCTTTCTTTTTATCTCCTGAAGGATGAACAGCCAACGTTATTCTCATCTCTTTCAACGTGTCTTGGAAAGCTGAAGGGATGAAGTCACTTGTGAACTGACCAGGACCACAAAGGAAGAACTTGGCAGAACAAAGAAATGGACTCAACTTGGTGCTCTGGTTTCCCAACTTTCTCTTCTTCTGAAATCCCATAATATTAGCAGGGCCGGTCACTGGTCTGTTTTCAATTCTTACCATGAACAGTAAAGAAACAAGTGAAAATGATGAGGTTTGACTTCACCATCACTCCTACAAATTGCTGGGCCTCCTCAGCTGAAGTGCTATTTTCTGACAAAACTAAAACAATGTCTTTTTGCCAAATTGTAGTAACACAGGGTTCACTTCCAAGGATACAACCAAGAATATTCAGCTTCAAAAGCGAGACTGCCTTTGTTTCTGTTGTTTATCAAGTAGCTCACCTCCAACCAATTTTCTATCATATAAAATTTTTGTGTGCAGTTGACAATAAACACTTCGTTAACATAGATACTTTCTGACAACTGAGCAAGAGTGAAGCAGATTGTGGCAGCTTGTGAAATCAGCTACAATAAAAGGCTGGATTTACACTCCTAGTAATATACAACCACCCGATAAAGTCAGGGTCTAAATCTCAGCCCTAATGTCATTCAGACCTGCTCAAACCTGCCAAGTTGCTAGAGCCTCACTCAGAAATTCCTTCAATGACTGAAATATTCAGCTACATTTTCCTTCACTCTCAGATAACTCAAACACCTGCTGTGTCACACAGCCATAAATCCACCTGGCAGCCTTGAGAGAGTTAGTATTGTGTGATTATCCTTTGAAGGAGGATTGCTTTTAAGTGATGTTCTATCATCTACTCCAGCAGCTCAGTGCAAAAGAGCTAAGGATCTCTTAGAAATGCTTCAGAGACCTCACGATGTCTCTGTGCCTGCTGAAATGTATCTATGTAAGTGCAATGGCCGACAAATTGCAGCCCTGTTATGCTTCAAACCTGATTTCAACGTTCAAGTGATTAGCTGGACATGTTTAAAAGAGGCCATGTTTTTCTTAGACGGCTTCTGGTCAGCCTTTCCCGGACCTTTAAGAGCCATGAAGTTCATTTGCTTCATTTAAAAAAAAAACCAAAACCTTCTCATCCAGTCAAGTAGCTTCAGGAGTGCAACAAACCTTTTTGGACTGTTTAGAAAAATGGGGTGTTAATTGTTTTTTGCAAAGGGGAAAAGAAATAGAGTGGAGGGGGCTGCCAGGCTCAAACAGAGGCAGGTAAGAGCTTTAAAGGTTCCCATCACCTCACCTCTCAGGTTAGCAGCCCTCTATTGGGGCACTCACAGATTTACAGGTACTTGTTAAGCCCCTTGAGGCCCCCTACAGCTCGGGGCACTGCCCTGGTGAGAGCATCGGGCATGCCGGAGGGAAGCCCACCGCTAGGCTTGTTTCTCCACCTGGGAAGCACGGCTCCAGCAGCACTGTAAATCTCTTTTCCCATCCCCAGCTGACAGACAGGCTGTGCTTGCTCTTAAAAGATGGGGCCAAGGCAAGGCCCTTTTTAGTCGGACCCTGCCTCTGCTGCAGTGCAAGGGCTGGCTCCCCTCCAAAGAGAAAACAGTCACAATACATCCTCGTGATGCTCAGTGGCCAGGTACTCCATTTGGTGTCAAGCCTGTGCTTTTAATATAAAGAGAAATGCTGCCTCTCTGTTGAACCCTACTGAACTCTTCCAGCAATATATGAAACCTCTTGGCTTGCCACAAGCCCACGCTAAACTTTTCTACTACTTTTCTCCTTTTCAGTTTCCCTGAGGCACTTTGCTAGCCTTTTGTCAATAGAGGCAGCAGTAATTTGGGATGCCAAAGAGAGCACAAACTGCAAAATGCTGGTCCTGCAAGGATGACGGACAGGCCAATAATGCTTGTATTTTATACTGTGAAAGCTAGGATGAGCCTTCGTGAGGGCTGCGCTTTGCTGATTTATGAACAGATTGCTACCTGCATTATCAAGAAGCTGCTATCAAGCAGCTGACAGCCACGGGGCAAGATTTTGGCAGTCTGAGGACGGGGTGGAGGGCAGGCAGGACCTCCTCACCTGCAGCTGCAGCAGGATAAAGCTCTCCCTATCACCAGAGAAGCAGCAGCAGCACAGAGACAACCCCTGCGGACAGGGCTTGAAGACGGCTTTGCCAATGGTCACCAGCTACGGAGTCCCTACTGCTCCCCATATCCCAGCTATCATGTTTTCCTACTTGTTTTTGTCTTCTCTCACGGGTGTTGGGTCTCCACTGCAGCCCCAAAGGGTGTCAGCTCGTCTAAGCGTCACCACGCAGCGCAGCTTGGAGAACACAGTGCCAATTTCTGTGTCTAGCAACTTCCAAGGAATCGTAGTGCATGCAAAACCCACATGATTAGCAGTGAATGAATTTTAAATGAAACAATCGATTAGCAAGACGCTTAATTTCTGAAGTTGATTAATCCTGTTCAGTCAAGGGTGCTAGAATCTGGGTTTCAGCATCTTTCCTAATATCATGGAGAGAGAAATACAGTCCTTTCCCACAGCCAGATGCAACATTGCTATAATAATGATGCTCAATAAAATTAGCATAATTAGCCTTTTTATGAGATGCATCCAAACAATTCTTAGCGATGCCTTTTTTGCAACTTCAAGAGAATTCCCCACTGGTACAGAGTCTGAATTGCTCATGTTAATGTGAAAAGCTACGAATGTGACTACAGAGGATTTAAAAATAAATTTTAACCTAAGATCTACTTTTCAATGGTTCATGCACATTTAATTGTACAGACCCGGTAGTCCCAGGCCCTACCGTGTATAAATGTAGCTTTAAAAGGTTTACTTATAGATATAAATCTATTTCCCAAATTGTGAATGTGACTAAAAGGATGGGTTGGAAGAGCTAAAGTTCTTTGCATTAGTGAAGAACACAGGCATTTGTCAATTAATTGGTACACAACGCTCCACTCTAAGAGATTTTGTTAATCCTAGTGTGCCAAAAGTAGATCCTTTATGTTTCAAAATGAAGCAAGAAACCCGCGCTGCCTGCTGCCAACTGAGCACAGAGCCAGGTAGGAGAGAGGTCTTCAGCACAGGAATACCTCTGATTTCAGCAGCATGGCAAGGCCCTAACACGTCACGGAACATTATTCCTCCCATATTTTGTTGAGAGACCTTTACTTATAAGTTTAAGTAGCTGCAATCATAGCCATCGGGATGGCTTTGAGCTAGAAACAGGGTGAGAAGGCAGAGTACACAGCGTCAGAGCACTGGCCTTGTTTTAACGCCTGCAACTCAAAACCCAACCAATTTTTTTCAGACGCTGAAGAAACTTTCATGTCTGTCTTCAGGTCAAATTCAGCAGCTCCCAAGAGAAAAAAAAAAAACCAAACCAAAATTCACTTCTTGATGTGAACTGAAGGCAATTTGGTTAAAAAGCGGCCACTGCCCTTCCACTGTAATGGCCCTGTGTATCTTTAATTTCTAAATTGCAACGTTGTTGGCTTGGATATAGTCAAAAGTTTCCTTTTTACTTTTGTTTACTGCTGCTGAGTGAACATCCCAGGACTGTATGACAAGGCACCATCCATTTTTTCTAAGTCGTCACTAACTACCCCTGTAACAGGTCCTAAATCTCACTTCCAAAAAGCACAGCCCCTTCTCTGGGTGTTTCCCCCCCAGGATTTTCAATGTCCTGTATTCTTCCCCACCTATTTACAGCTTGCATAAAGCAACTCTAATAAAAACTAAATTATCTTTGCATCAGATCGCTAATCCTGCTGCTGAGGAACTATACAGGCAGTTAATCCACAAACTGCTCAGGTGGACGCAGGAATCCATTAAAAGGTTGCCAGTACAGACTCATTTTTTCCTACCAGTTGTTCTAATTTTTTCTCGCCAATTTTTCTTGCAAGTTGTTGCAATCAAAGTTGCGTATGTCACTGCTATGGCTCTTCCCCTGCCTGAAGTACTCCAGACAGAGATAACGCATTTTTGCCCATACCATAGCACTGCATGTTTCTATACAATTTGCACATATTTTTAACTAACATGCAGTTAGACATTTACGTACCGACTTTAGTCAAAATCTCACGGACACTGCGTAATAAAAACATATGAACAAGTATCAGAGCCAACAGCTAAATTATAGCATTGGCTCATAGCTGAATTTCCTGCTCATGAATATTGGAATACAAAACTGCTTAATCAGGTGCTTATTCCTCGCTGGCACTGAGTCAGGGCATGGTGGACATCTGACCATTTTTCCAGCATTAAGCCTCAGTGCACCTGGATGGGCTATTCTCTGCTGTCAGATGAGAAAAAGAGATCAGGGCTTGGCTCTTCTATAGCTGTGCCGTAGCTCAGAGCCCCCCTGGGCTGTTTGCATGGCAGCCCGCTGAACTGGGTTGGAGATACTTTTTTTAATTTGTTTTTTTTTTTTTTTTTAGCCAGCTCATTTTCTTGATTCAAATCTCAGGGTGGCCCCAGGAGTAGCTGTGGCAGCACGGCAGATCAGATGGTGTGCGCTGAGCAGCGGGCAGGGCTGGGGAGGGCAGGATGAACGTGCATTAGGACTGTACGGCTGCTGATAGCGATACATCATTGGACCATGGCCTAAAGACACAGATGGCCTCAACGTCAATTATCTCGCACCTGTTTTCTGGCTCTTTCCAACTGAAAAGTGATTGGAGACAGAAAAGGAAAATATTATCAGTCTTACACTTTCTAGTCCAGAGGAGGGGAAAATCAGTGGAGGAGCAGACTGAAAAATCATGTGGTTTGGTCAAGGTCAGACAAAAAGTCTGTGATGGAGACAAGGGATGAAATCTTGAGGGACTTGTACTTCTGCAGCAGCAAGACAGTGCTCCAGATGATTCACCTTCTGCCTTATTAAAAATGTTTCTGGTGAGTGTGGTGAGCATTGCCTGGGAGTGGCTGCATTTATACCAAGACTGCATTTGTTGAAAACATTTCATTTTTCTCCTTCCCATCACTGTCAGTGAAAAGTGTTTCTAAGCTAAAGCACGTTATATGGAGTTCACCCCTCACTCTTTGGTGGGGAAGAGCATGAAAAGCTCCTCTTCAGCCTCCATGCTGCTGCCAAATTTTCCTGGGTGAACTGGCCAGAGAGACATTTAGGGGGAAAAAAAACCTGACCCATAAGTAACAGGAAGCCAAGACCCTTCTCTCCTGTGAGCAGTCCTTTTATGAGTAACACTCACCAAGTCTCGTTGTGTAATGAATTAAGCAACACAGCCAACACTGCCTGTTGCTGAAGGGAAGGGACCACATGTGCCTGGAGGCACTCGTATGCCTCAGCCCCCAAGGCTCCTGCTCTTTGATTTATGGTGCTACTGAGGTTAAAGAGAGGTGAAGTTAGGGGAAAACTGTTCTCACAGCTATTGCTTTAGTAGCACGAGATGGAAATAGCGGGATGCAAGGAAGAAGAGGAGACTAATTGGGCAAATTTCACATATCAGGAAAAACTTTGTTTACTTTCTTTTCATCCCACATCTGTAGTGGCTGGCACAGACTGGCCCAGGTGCCTCACAATGCCTGTAAATAAGAGTTTCTCAGAGATGTCCCACACATTTCAGGAGATGTTTGGGGTTGTGTAACTTTGTGCTGCTCAGACACGAGACTCGCTTCGAGCCGTTTGTTTTTTAATTGGGTTATTCCCTCTTTGCAGCTCAGAACATAATCCTCCTAAAGCTAATGAGCAACAGTAACCAACACATGCCACGGCGAGGACCTGCTGCCATGGAAGGGAGAAGGCGATTGCCTGCCTAGTAGCAGTGAGACCATGAAATGCAGAGCTGGAGCTCCCTAAGTCCTGACACCTTGCTTTTCACCATGGGCTTACACGCCATCCCTGGCTACAAGTCTGATACACATGGAAAGGCATCACCTGTGCACGAGAAGCAGCCAGTGACACCAAACCCATCCTTACTACAAAGATTAACTATGGAAATAATACCACCTATCTTCCTCCATTTGCAAGCCTTACTTGTTGCGGTACTCATCGAGCATGCGCTGGGCATCCTTCTCCTCCCGCTCCAGCTTGGCTCGGTCGGATGCCAGCTCCCGCATTCGCTGGCGGTTGAACTCGATCTGCCCAGCGAAGGATTCATCCAAGCCCACCAGCTCGTCCACGCGCTGGAAGGTCTCCAGCTGCTTGCGCAGGATGGTGTTGCGCTGCTCCAGCACGCGTGCCCGGTTGATGTAGATGGCGAAGCGCTCGTTGAGCTCCTGCAGGTTCTCCAGGCCCCTGGCTTGGGCCAAGCTGTCGAATTCGGGGGAGCCTCGCAGCTCATCGTAGGCATCCGACCGCTCGTACTTCTCCTTGCGCACCTCACGGAGGAAGTTGCTCCTGTACATGGCTTTGGGAGGGCTATGCAATGCTGGGGTCCCCTCTTGCGTGCCTGCCCGTCTCTCCAGTTTGGATCTGAATTACGTCTGGGGGGTTTGGGGAGGAAGAACTGAACATAATCACACCCCCAGATGATTAGGACTTGTCTCCAGGGCAGTTTGTGGCACTAAAGGCATCATCTGCAGCAGTGAACTAAATAAATCCCAACGGCCCCGCCTTGGGGCTGCCCATCCGGGCGTCAGCAGTTCGGAGGAGCAGTGGGTATGGGGGGGGGCCGAGGGGCTTTTCTTTTTGAGCATTGCAATTGTGTACAGACAGAATAAAAGAGAGCAACGTCCAGCTTTCACTCAGCAGATTAAAGCGTTATCCACGGACAACAAAACGAGCGCTTTGCAGTTTCGGAGGCTGAGCTCAAAGCCTTTCGTGGCTGTGCTGGGGGGAGAGCTTTGTCTCATGGTGTTGTCCCCAGGGCTGTGCGCAGAGGCCTGCTGCTGAGCCAGGATTTTGGTGTAGTGGATGGCAGCGCTTGATTTTTGTTATTTGACAGTTTTGCAATCATTTAGGATGTATAAAAGTCAGTGTGACTCCTGCTCCAAGTACAAGATTTGGCCATTTAGTTCTCACTTCATGCTTCTTCCAGTCAGCCTTTTCTGCAGATTATTTCTACCTGGCATGAGAAGCATCAAAGCAGCAGTGGTACTAAAAGCCCCATGCTTAACAGCGCCCTGTTGGGAGGTCAGTTTCCTTGGAGATAGCTAAGTGCCATGTCCTCTCGTGACTTGGTGGACAGACCATACTATCCCATGGGGAGCCACCATCCATCCTTCCTTCCTTCCTTCCCTTTGCTCCCACCGTAATGGAGTCTCGTGTGCTGCCATTCCCTGAGAGGCTTTAATTTCTCTGGAAGTGATGGATGTATTTTCTCTAGTACTTTTTTCCCAGTCTTTCCCTTTGCAAAATCCCGTTTCTTAGGACCGTTCTTCCAGAAGCACATCTACTCACCTAGCCGAAAAGCCTAACACCAAGACAGTCTAATGTTGAGACCTCTGTTAATAATTCATTTATGTCAAAGTCGCTCTTTCATTTTTTAATGGAAACATCTTATATGAATATTTAAATTGCACATATTGGAACTTTAACGGAGAGTGGCCTCACTGACGGCAATTGCAGAGGCAAAGAAAGAAGCTGGGTGCTCAGGCGACTCCAAAGTTTGGGTTCTGCGTTATCGAATCTGAATCAAAAGGTAAAAAAAGTTCATTAGAAGTTTTCTGCATCTTTCCTATTCTGCTTCAGATTATTTGGAAGTGCAATGGGGAAAGAACAAATGATCTTTCAGAAAATCAAAGTAGGCTTTGCACATGCATTGTGCAGCCCCACACGTAGTCTCTGAACTACATAAATAGCAAAACGGGTAGATTTTTTAGAAATGTTTGGGATATTTATAAAGCAGCGGACGTGAAATCACTGCTTTCCATGCTGCACAAACACATCGGTATTTGCAGCTCTTTGGCTGGACAAGCCTGCCCAGCTGAACAATGTAGTTGAGCTTTTTACAAAGTTAGTCTTCCAGAAGAGATCAGAAAGTAGATTCTGCTGGATTGTGGGCAGTGTATTTTCATGGCAAGAGATTTTTAGGCTTTAGATAGCCTTTCCGTACAATAATAGCCTATGTGAGTACTATCCCATCCCTCTCTCTGGGGCTGGAAGCAGCCCTGACTCCATGCTGAGCATGCACCTTAACTCCTTAGGTAATAAAATGAAAATTTCTGTAGAGGCCTCTTAGTGACCCACCGTGTCCCTAAACAGAGCGGTCTGTCTGCAGGGGAACCTTTGCAGTGCCGATTTTTATTATTAAAATTTATCCCATGCTTTCTACTAGGAAAATCTGAGTTTGCTATAGCATGTATTTCAATATGCTATTGCATGTTTTGCTATTACATGCATTTCTCTAAGGTGGGATTCCCGATTCAGTAAGATCTCACCTTGGGCTGTTTTCCCTGCTGACTTGCTATAGATACTGCTTTACTGGGGCCAAAGCAAGCTTAGACGACTCAGGCTCTGTGTTAGTAATTTTTTGTGACAGAGGTTCTGACTTTTAGTTAGGTGGCTTAAGGAGACACCCTGGTCTCCAGACAGCTCATGAACACTCAAATGCAGCAAACCAGCATGAGGCAGCCTGAAAGGAAAAACAGTTTGGCCTAGACTGCAACTGTTATTCTCCTTTTCAAAGAGAGAGCATCAAAAACACCACAGAAGAATCAATCTGCTCCTGTTATGCACTGAGTTATTTGGCTCATCTAATGGACCACCAAGGTAAATTTCTTACAAAGGGATCCCGGACAGTTTCCTATTTAGAGATGGCTCAAAGACTGAAAGGTTATCTATACACACGTTAATGAAATGTCTGACAAACTGCTTGGAAGCTTTTTAGATTTAAATCAGTGAGTGTGTATACATAAGCGCTTCTATGCAAAATATGCAATCTTTTTAACCTAAGGCCTGCAGTATAAACAAGAAGGAACATAAAGAAACGATTTGTATCTTTCCCTCTTTGTCCCGAGAATATGTGTGACCTGTTCTTCGGAAAACAAAATCTGAAGGCTGGCTCTTTGCCGTTTAAATGCACTACGTGATACACCACCATTGCCCCAGAACAGGTGTTTACCTACCACTGCACAGCTCAGTAAATCCCTGGTACAAGTGGGTGGTTTGTTTCTTCTTTAATTGCTTGTATTGCTATAAACTCCTTTGCAGACTAACTTGGTTATATCCCTTATGCACAATACGAGTATATTTTGGCAACGCCATCAACCTGCTTGTACCCCTTGCTACTTGGCTACGCCATCACAAGTTCCTCATACTAAGTCAAAACAAATTAAAAAAAACCAAAACAACCCAAATGAAACCTTATCTTTCTGCTAAGAACAGGCCCAGCCCTAGCTGTGCTCTGCCAGATTGGCAGCTGAGCTTGTGCTGGCCGTGGCTGCAGGCTGCGGCCCTGGGGCTCCTGTACCCTCCTTACCCAGGGGACTTCCAGCTCTGTTCCTTTCCTCATGGGGAAAACCCTTTCAGCATCGGTGGGTCGAGACAGGGTAAGAGTTGAAACAGCTCCCCACAGGCAGCCTGCTCAGGTTTTTCAAATTAATCCTCCAAGCTCAGTAATAATATGACAGCTTGTTGGTCTGTCTATTCAGCTGCTATGAACTAATCACAGACAAGAGCGGAGCTCTACCAGTACAGTCCAGCTGAGGCACTCAGCTCACTGTTGCCGTCTTTTCAAGTTATTTTGCTTTATTCAGAGCCTGATGCTATAGCCCAAAGTTTCCTGTTCCTGTAGTCCAGAATGAGACTTCAGAGCAGGGCGTGCTAATGAAATGTGTTACGAGCATTTCATGGCAAGGTCTCATTAGATGGAAATGGAGGTTATTCTTCATTTAGAGAACTGATGCTCAAAAGGCCACATGTCACATGGCTGAAAAGAGCTGCAGTGAAGGCATTCAGAGCTGAACTTCTTTGTGAATACGACCGATGAGGAAGAGGAAATGAATTTGGGCTGATAAGCTTTAAGGACGACTCAAAGTGATGTACATTCAAACATAAAAGAGTCCAGCACACTGAAAAAAAGGTTTGTGGTGTGTTTTTTTTTCTTTTCCATGTCCATAGTGAATAGGACAAGAAATAATGAGTTTAAACTGTGCAATATAAGATATAAATGAGTTATGAGGAAAGTAGTCTAACTGATCCTCTAATGAAGCACTGGACATAAAAGATTGCAAAATCTCAGTCACTAAAGCACTTTAAAGATCAGGCTAAGCAAACGTTGCCCAGGATTGAGGGATATTTTGTTTATCCTACCTTAGGAAGGAGTTTACTGATGACTGTCAGGACACTACAGGGGGATTCCTTACTGGCCTCTTAGTGCCCCAGCAATGATTTTTGAGGTCTCTCCCAACCCTGTGATATCCATATCCTCCCATTTCTTAAGAACTCTTGCATGCATTTGTATTTGCTTCACAAATTATTCTCTGGTGCAGATTTCCAATGCAGAGCATCGCAGCTGGATGCTGACTTGCACCCTGCTTTTTGGACTTTTCCCCCAGAAATATTCCTATCCCTCCAGACAACACCATAAAGGTCAGGGCCCAAAGTTGAGTTTCAGCTATAATGTTATGCAGCTCTTCACAAAATACGTGGCTAGGTACCACCAGAGGGCTGTAGTCCTACAGCAGGAGTAGGCTGTGGGTTGAAGATTCAGTACCATTTGCACCAGTTCCCGACATAAGTGACACCAGTGATCCCTACAGAGTTTGCTCTGCAGTATGAAACAAGTTGGGTTTTGTCCTTATTGCAATAGTAGATGTGCTGCAACAAGCCGCTGCCTCTGCTCAAGGGCACCAAACGCTGCTGGGGTCGGGATCAGTCCCTCGCTGGTGGTGAACGTGCTACTGTAAAGCTGTGTGTCTGCTGCATTGCTCAGGACCACCCCCCCACCCCAAACCAGCTTGAATAAACACCCTGAGCTAACAGCAGCCCTGGGACAGACCCTTTGCTAAGCTCCCACTGCAAAATCAGGTCAGCAGGTCTACTGCACACACCTAGTGTTAGGCTGTGCTCTTTAAAGAGCTGGGCATGATATGAGGAATCGGATTAAAGAAAACAACATCGTTAATTTTCTGTAGCAATCATAAACAAAATAAAAATGGCAGTAAATATTTGGTCTGTTTTGTACTGGCAAGTGTGTAGCAGTAACTAAGTTTCCCAATTGCAGTGTCAGGCAGACAAGCTCTACCAAGTTAAGCTAAGAGATTCCCCCGAAATTCCCCCCCCCCCCCCTTCATTTTGTCTATCAACCAGAAGAAACACCACGCTGAAAGATGCCCTTTCAGCCAAAGAATGAGAGATGAGAAAATGCAGTTGAACTGAATCTGGACTCCACTTGAGCCCTGGAGGCGATAATCTGAATTCCTGTAACAGACAGAACAAGGAAAACAGGAGCCAGAGGAATGTGCAATCTCTGCTGGAAAGAATACCCTGAATGAATGAAGTAGCAGAATTGAGGGAGACGAGGGAAAAAAGAGCCTAAAAGGGGTCAAAGGATAAACTTTAATTGGGGTCTGGTATACAACAGCCATCTGGGTTTGCCAACCTGGCTGTTTA